TATGCATCTTATACTTTTATACTTGCTTAAAAATAAAAGGGTTTATGAATACCACTTAACATTTTACATTCTTGAGTGGTTAATAAGGAAACACCGCTTATAGCATCTTCTATAGTCTTAGATACGAACAAAAATGAAGTTATTGTACGACCTATTATACTTCAGGAGGTCAGCATAGATTCAAGATATTACCCGTTTTTATTCCTCTGTCCATATATTAGAAAACATGAAACCCCCGATTTCATATATCCATCTGGTCAGAGAGAAAGATTTCCCGCTGCTCTTATTCCTTATATATTAGGCCCACTCCCTCTCTGGGTTTTATGGTTTCGGTATAGTCTTTAATCTTGATTTTTTGAGTATCCTCTCCTTTAGCTTCCTCTCTTGCTCCTTGTCTTGTGTATTTATTAACTATGTACCTTTCCTTTTAGGCATTTCCACCTTGACGGTCATGTTGATATGCCCACTGTCCTGTGGGGTATCTATAGGGTGTTACATAGATCTGTCCCTGAGGTGTGAGGCAGATAATTCTCTCAAATATGTCAGTCTCCTTCTTATATACATTCTATTATAGTCAGGCGCTCCTATATGGCTGCTCCCCCACTTTTAGATTAATGATTCTTTAATATCTTATGTGTATTCTTATTCTTAGGCTCATTTTATCCCCTTCGACCGTTCCATATTATTATTATTCTTAACTCTCCACGAGAAACAGCCCGTTCTATATAGTACTATTCCTTTTATAATTTCCTATTCCTCCCTAGGGTATAAGAAGTTTAATCTTCCATTTTACATAATTGTTACACTTTAATAGTACCGCATCGATTTGGAGTCTTGTTAAGAGGAAAATACTACAGATTAAAGGAGGTGTGCAACTCTTCCGTAATCAATTTTTTTTAATAGTACCCGGATAATTATTGAATCTATATTACAATAATATTGCGAAGGAATATTCACAGTTCACGATGTATTACTGTACTTACAGTGTTACTTCGCCTATAAAAAGTTGTCCCCATATATAAGCACGCTTGGTATGTTGAAACCCCTCTTAGTGATAGTATCCCTCAGCTTCTTAGACATCATGAATAGCCTTAGGATTGGTATATGCGTATTCCTGGAATGGAATTATTTTACAAGCCAGTGTATTGGTGAAATTGTATGATTCTTACAACTGCTGCCCTCCTCAAAGAATTCGACTCCCTAACCCTTTCTATTATCTTAAACAATTCTTCTCCTCACACAGCACTGTTCTACATAGAATATTACCCTTGACAGAGGCTTATCCACTAAACAGCTGTTGTAAGGCCGATTCTTAGAGTTAATACAAATATACAGGAGGCATCTCCCATCTTTTATATAGGTGTAACGCTTAGTGATGGGAATCCCTCCAAGAATACCGCTGAATCCACTCTATTATCTCTTACTAAATATCTCTTTTTAAATTATGGTGCTTCCTGCTTTAAATCTTGACGATTCCACAATAGGTTCTCTGGGGATTCTTCTACTGTTTATGCATTGCTACTCTAGAGAGATGTCTCCTTCTCACATACTTAATCATGGTCGCGAAAAATGTATACCTTATATATTAGTCTTCCAAGGAAGTGTATATCCTCCGCCTTATTCTATTCTTCAAATAATAGCACTCGTTGGCCTAACTTTTCCATATAAATATATTCCAGTAATAGTCATAGAACTTGCACTATTATGTTCCTGATATCATGATTCCCCATCGAGATGTGTTATCTTCAGCCAATAATAGTCTATAAATAAAAAAAACTGTAAAATATCAACCTGGTGCAGAATAATATTCAGGAGACATGTATACAGTACGCAAAATAATACTGGAGGTATAGACGTCTGGTTCATATAATAGGACTGTATGCTAAGCGTACATTCCACAGGCCCTTAGTCCTGGGGGGAGCGATATTTTTTAAATAATACTACACATAAATCATTATTCCTCAATTAGTCACGTTCTCCAATTAGTCATATCTAAGAAGCTATGTTATGAGGCCTTCACATAAAAGCATTCCTCCGACACTGTACATTACAAAAAACATTTCCGCTAGAATCCTTGCATTGTCCATATGCAAGTATTTCTGCTTCTATTGTATTACTCCGCCAATATTACATTCGACAAAGCTATAGCGCTTGCACCTGCGCATAATTAATGGCTTGCTGTTTTCTTTAGAATTTAGCCCTCAATTTTTCACATAATACTATTTCATAGAGATATATACTAATCAATGACTGGTGTCGTCCAAATAATAGGAACCGAAATTTGGAATACATAGCCCACAATTCACACACTTCTGCATCTTCGATGGGCATATTGTAGGAAAATCCTTATCTTTCAAAGGACGGGTCCTGAGAATATCCTTATCCCTCAGACAATACTGTATTTTGAATATCATTGCACTCCACAGAATGCCACTTCTCATTTTCCCTTCTCTCTACATATCACATGATTGCAGGAACTATAATTTCTTTCAAATGAATGCGTTACAACCTTTGTGTTTGTTATAAAATATTTTCCCTTCCTTACAATAACAACATAAGCAGTAACCCCATACAATAATATTCCTGATACAGCTGTATTCTTTACCAGCATTGACATTTCAGACACATGTGAACTGTTTATATCATCATAACTTTCCTATAATAATACACCCAGTATATTCCTCCACTTCTTACAATGGTGTCATTTATACATTACCATCCCTGCCATGGACGACGGATAAAGATAATGATACGGCATGCATGTTCATACACTTTAAATCATAGTATTCCCGGTACAGTAGTATTGACTTTACAATGTTATGCTTAATATATTGATACTCCGCAAACATCCCCACTATTCACATAATAGTACTCTGGGAATTTTACCAGTGGGAGCGAATAAGTAATTCTTAGACAATACTCCTTCACGCACATGTGTACACTTGCTCCAGCGGTACTCCCCCAATCATGCAGTTCCACACATTATACGGCTGTTAATATAATAACATTCCAGGGAGTTGTAAGAATTTTGAACTATAGTGCTCTTCCTATAATAGAAGCATAGACCGTAGGTCATGAAGTCCCCAACTTCCTAAATAATTGCACTCTGGGGATATCGAGAATCCCACGACAATTGTGCACTCCAAGACATCACCCTAGGGAGATCTGAGTACACTCACAAGACTGCGCCGCAGATCATCCGTACGTTTTATACAATTATGCCCCTAAAGGGACAGTACTTTTCAGATATCAGTATAGATCAACCATTAATACATTGATATAACCGTACTACGAGAATTTCCGCATTCGTCAACATGGGAGATGGGGACACATGTATACTTCCTTCTCATCTGCCCTTGTAGAATATTCAGGCACTTCATAGAATATTACCCTACAAAAAATGACACACCTCGAATATCAGTATTCTTGACACAATAATACGGTTCACATTATAGTACCCCTGGCATAGCTCTACTGTTTAGACAAAATGATTGGAGGCGAACTGTCGGATCTGCAGAATCGCCCAAGTCATATCATCCAGCCACTATACCAACATGACGACCCTTCAAAGAATGTTATACCAAGGACAGTTGTGCTCATCAGGACAAACTATTCTGTACATAACATCAGTGTTCTTCAAGTAATCGTGCAATTCACATATCCATGTATCTCACAGAACTGTACTTCCCATACGGAGGTACTACGGCAGTTTCCACACGTTGTGTAACGGTGCCACCTGCTCACACGGCACAAAGCTAAGTGATGAATTCTATACCCCTCTTTACTTTACTTAATAATACGGAATTAACCTTGCCACTCATGAAATGGCATGGTACAAGCCATATTAGGCATCTTTAGATATGACTACTATACATACCTCTGTAGCGTCCCCATAACAGTACTCCAAGTCATGAATACTCCTTCAGCAAATATCCTGTTCAAATGGAAGTATTATCCACACAACACTACTGTAAACAGGACGGTACTTGTTGTATTAACGTACTCTATCAAAGAATGGTACTCCAAAGGTTATCTTACTCATAAAGGCAGGAAACTCCACAGATCATGGTTCCGTTAGTATAGTAGTACTCAAGGTGGTCTATACAGCTCGACTATTCGTACTTTTATAGAACAGTACTATGGAGACTTCTGGACTCCTTACCATTGAGAAAGTGGAGACAATGGTACTCCCTAAACAATAGTTATACTGGAATATCCATGCAGTTCACACAACACTCCTATTCATATAGTGAAGGCATAAACCCTGAATTCTTCACATACACTAGTACATGGAAACATTACTCGTCACATAATAGTAGTAGAAATATATTTGCGCGCATCATCAGCAATGGAAATCCACACCAGTACTGTACAGATAATGGTATCCAGGGCGTCCTTCCATTCCTCAAATATCAATACAATAATGGTGTGACTACCCTCCCTATATGAGTAATACGAACACCTGGGTACGTATCATATACAGTAACACTGAAGGATATCCCTACCCCTTACACCGATGGGTTCCTCAAATAAGGGGACTCCAGGCAAAAGGGTACTGTTCAGATAACACTCCTCTAGAATATCATTACATTTCACATAGTATTGCATTCAGAATCTTCGGGGAGTCCACAGAATGGCACTCTCCATAGATTCACGCCCTTCATATGGAATCACCACTGGTATATTGCTCCTCCTTAAGTAAATCTGCTCCAGCCGGTTTGGAGGGTTCAGAGCATTTAGTTGCTCCTACATTACTTGTATTATTTCTCAACCCTCATACAATGATATCGCTTGTATAGCTGTATACTTCAAAACCATGGACACCTGCGATATATTCCAGCGGCTTACACACTTTTTCTCCTTATATAATACTACAACAAGTATATCTGCAAACTTCATCCAATGATTTCATTCATATAATACTATTCTTGAGACACACATACACGGTTGAAATAATGGTATCCCCTGTATTTCAATACTATTTAAATCATAGTACGTCGGCCACATTAGTATTCATTCCAACAATGTTATTCCTGGCATGTCAATACTTCGCACACAGTAGGAATATTTACAGGATTCTACTGTCAGAATATCAGCATTCAAAGTTAAGAAGTTATTATCACACATGGGTAATTTAGGGACATCCGTACACTTGGTAGGACGGTGCTGCCAAAATCATGGATCTTTACGCATTTCACCGCTCGTAATATAATTATACTTCAGGGATTGTTACCAGTCTGAGACAGCAGTGTTTTTCGTATAATACAAACAGAAATCTACGGCCTCGGAGTTCAAACCCCTCAGATATCGGTGTTTCAGGGACACTTATAATTCGCGCATAACCCTGCTTCCTAAATGATAGTACTGCGCACATATGAGTATACTCACAGAATAATGCTTCAGATTAGGCATACTACCTACGGAGGTATTCTATTCAGAAAACAATGCAGAACAGATATTACCACAGGTCAATCATTAGTACCTTCATATAACGCTACTACGGCAACTTCCGTAATCATCATCATTGCAAATCCATACACATCTGTACTGTGCACGCAATAGTTCGTTTGCAATATTCATACACTCGACGGAATAGTGCTCTCCAAATAATGACCCCCGTGGAATATCAATATTTCACACACAGATGTATGGTTCATATCATAGTACTTCTGGCACCATAGTACTATCGAAACAATGGTCTCCCTAACATTTCTTAAAGGTTGTACAATCCCTCACTTCATATAATTGGACCATTAAACTTAAATAGACACCCTTTACATAATGACACTTCAGAGACAGGCATGTTGATCTAGGAACACCATTCGGTACATAACCGTAATATTGCTCAAATGACGCACCATTGAAAAGCACCATGCTGTTCACACCATAGTATCTCTCATATAAAACTATTACGGAAACGGTTATACCCTCCATCCTTTAACTCTCAGCAGGAGATAAAAGGCTATTCTATATATGTTATCCCCCTGAATATTTTAATTAACCATATTGTTGCTATTCCGACATTCTCTGAATAGTAATATACGACGTATTTGGACACTCCGCAGATATGAGTACGGCATATATTGATCTAGTTTTCACATAATGATACCTCAACTCATGGATACTTCGCATTCGGCTGTGCACTTCAAATTAAGGTATTATCCAAACAATCGTACTTTTAACATGACGGTATCAATCGTATACGCCTACTTGTCAAAGAATAGTACCACAGATATAGTCCTAATAAGGAAGGAACATAATGGCAGATAGAATGGTATCCGTAGCAAAACTTCACTCCTGGGACATCAATACCTGAGACAAAAATGTACTCTTAAGATCATCATACTCCCGGAGTAGCAATACTCTTTAAGTAATAGTATTACAGATGGGCCCTAGGAGCTCCGCAATCCCGCACGTCTTCTAATGAAGTCATTAGACTTACATCAAAACACTTGACATCCTGATAATCCAACAATAGGCCTCCTCTTCGGGGTACAACGCTTCCCACATAACATTAACTTCCCTCAATTAACAGTGCACTTCACACATTAACACACTTGGAGGAAAAGTATCATTCACATGAAGATGCTACCGAAGCCTGTGCACTCCTCATACGGTAGCTCTCCTCAGATGGTAAAAGGTTACGGCACATATATCCTATGACCAGAATACATCACTTAATACGATTGTTTCAACTTCGGTATTCTCCAGATAGCGATATGCCACACACGTCAGCTGACTCCAGATATCAGTACTATACATACGTCTGTAGTTCCTTTATATTGGCATTGCAAAGCATAAATACTTATTAAGAAACGGTGTTATTTAAATTGAAGTATAATCCACATAAAAGTAGCCTTAATAGAACGATATTCCTGGCAGACACGTACTCTTCCATAAAATACTATTCTGAATATGATGATATTCATTATGGCACAACGCACAATACATAATGGTACAGCTTAGCATGAGTGCACTGGAAGTCAGGCAGATAGCTGAGCTACTAGGATGTTTTTATAACAGTGCCATGGGAATCTCCGGATTGTGGACCATTGAGAATCCAGACACTTTAGTACGGTTTAAATAAGAATTCTAGAATATTCATGCACTTCACATAAGCGTACTACACGTTCTTCCTGGCCTGCACCAGCGTTAAAGACGCACACCAGTATTATGCAAAGAGGAATACCACAGGCGGCCTTGTCCTTCTGATGTGACGCCACGATAAGCATGTCAATACTCTGCACATATGAGTAGTATGGACACATCTGCAGGTTCCCTGAAATAAAACTCCAACAAATTTCTTACCGTTGACACAACTCTTCTCTGTAATTAACAGTGTTATCTAGGTAACACTGCTATTCACCTAATAGTACTCCATGAAAATCATCATTTCTAAAGCAATAATACACCAGGATAAAAGTGCCCTCCACTACCTCCATATATTATTCATGTTTGTCAATGTTACCATATCCGTATGGTGATGATATCTACACTTCACATAGATGGCCATCCTCATAATAGCCGAAGTAAGGAAATATCTTCATAATGACTCCGAATAGGAAAATAAAAGAATGGGACAATCAGAGTGTTAGAGAAAGAAAAGTTCTAATAAAAAAGAATGACATACAGTACAACATATCCACAAGGATGAAGCCCGAAGGGGATCTTCAGAACGATACAGCCAAAACATCACTTCAGAATAAAGAGACGAGAAAATATCCTGAAGATACCAGGAGAACAAGGCATCTTCATAAGAGAAATAAACAACAGAGCAAAATCTTAACCATTCCGCAGAAAAGGGGCATGTTCATAAAAGGAACCAAACTCCAAGGGACATCTTCAGAATATCACCAAAAAAGTACATGATCGTAGAAAGAATGACACAGAAGAAACATCTTCGCCAAGCCGCAGAGGGAGGGAGCATCCATATAAAACAAAGGAAACATAACAGTATATATACTCAAGCTGGTACCGGAAGAAAGCATCATAGGAATGCAGCGGAAAAGAAATATCTCCATAAGAAGAACGGGCTCGCAGACGAATATCTTCCCGGTAACATGACCGAAGGGAAAGCCATCTTTATAAAAGAGACAAACAGGAAAACATCATTGATATAACGCGGTAAGCGGAGACTTGGTAAGTAAAATACTACACGGAGAGAAATTCTCACCATGACTCCCCACAGCACATTGCAGCAAGGCATCCGAACAAAAAACTATCGTCAGGAGAGAAATGAAACACAGACAAGAAGGTTCATAGTGACAGGAGGAGAAAACATCTCTATAAGAATGAAGACCCAGACGATATATTAAAAGTACAACGCGGTAAAATGAATCCTGGGAAGGAAAAGGCCCCCCCAGGAAAATACACTTCACAATGACGCAACATAAAACAAGGGAACTTCCCAGAAGTGGAACAGGAGATATCATCTTGAAAAAACTGCAAGACACAGAAACATCTTCATATTGACGCAACAAGAAGGATGTAACTATGCAAGAATGTAACACAAAGAAACATTATTATAGTAACATGCCAGATATAACCCTCCTTAAAAAGATGCCACATAGGAAACAAGCATCACAATGCTGCAGAAAAATAGTACACATCACAGTGGCGTGGCACGAGGACAGCGCAATGACCGCCAGGGAGAGCATCATGAAAATGGAGGAAAAAAAAGCATCATCATGAAGAAACTACACAAAAAAGATCGTGATAAAGATGCAGCAGTTAAACGCATCTTCATAGGGATGCCAGGAAAAGTGGTATCTTCATAGGGTTGCTGGGAGAAATGTCATCATAACCAAATCCTCGAAAAGGATTTCGTCAAAGGACTGCCGCAGAGAGGTGTATACTCATGGAGAAAATAAATAGAGAAATATATATAATAAAGCGAAACAGAACAGCCCCCGGGTGACAAATATAACACATGAGAACCCCAGTCCCAGGAATTCATCCACATGAAGAACTTTGGCAACGTTAAGCCACATGAAACCACATTCGGGAAAGATTACGCCACATGGCATTGCGTGCGCAAGAAATTACGCCACATGGCATTGCGTGCGCAAGAAATTACACCACATGGAACCACGTTCGCAAAAATTACGCCACATGAGACGACGTCCGCGAAATTACCCGACGTGAGACCACGCTCGCAACATTGGAGCATAGGAGGACGCCTATATAGGCGAGAGGCCCCATGGAAAAATACTCTCATAAGAATGCAGAAACATGATAAAACATACACAGGAAGAATGCATAATGCGGGGGAATACTGGTGAAAATATCGAAAAATCAAAAAACACACTCACAGGAAGCATGGGCCATGAGGACGCATTCACAAAAAGAAACTATAAAATAAACGATATAAATCCGGACGCCTACCATTTCACGCTGTACCCATTTGATCTGCTTATCTGTATTCCACTGCACTCATAGGAGTCTCCACAAAAAGGGATTAATACATTTAAGCGCCAATGCTGCCTCTCACTTGTATCTATCATACAATTAAAGTTCAATATGAGATTAGAACTCATATTATGCCAGTTCAAATTCAACAATCGATTACTCTCTTTATATATGCATAGATAAAGCAAAGTATGAAGAATTGTGTAATTTTAGGGGGCACATCTTTATGCCAAATGAAAATTCCTCTAATCTGAATCTGCATATAATGCTAACTATGTTTCCTTTCCGCGTAAGAATGTTTACCATGGGTACCATTCTCTTTCCTTCTCGTTGTGTTGTGCCTTTGCTTGTCATCCTGTATTCTCGTCGGCCTCTGTGTATGCAAGTTCTGTCTGGTAACGGACCCGGATTTTTAGGAACGTTCCCCTCTAGAGCCCTTGTAATATTCTAGAGACATGCTGTTTTATGCGACATGTGATCCAAAAGATCTGACCGCCCGTGTGTTCCTCCTAGGATATTCTGCTGTTTAATGTTTGTATGTATTGTTTTTTTTGTAGCTTCTGGTGGAATACCTGCCTTTTCAAGTGCTCTACACTTCTTTATATCCAGATCCGTCTTTGTGTTTTGAACTCTAGCCTCATCAATGTTTTCACTTCTCTTTTCATAATTACATTATGCATCCCGCGTCCTTTGAGTTGTTTGTATCCAGAGGCACAGGCGCCTTGTTTTGCTCATATGGCCGTCATGTGATATCTATAGTATGCCTTACCTCTCTTTCTTTGGTGTAATCCCCTTTCCGGCTCCTTCCTTTGTATTATCATACCGGGCTTCTTTTCTGAATATTTCTTTCCTTAGTTTTCCGTTCTGTACTGGCTCTGTTTTTTTTTTTTTCCTGTAGCAGTCGTATGATCACCAATTGCTTTGTTCTATAGGCTTCCTGTGTATTTGTCCCCTGCTTATCCTTTTTTTCATTTAACATATATCTTGTCACTTGGGTTGTTTCTTATGTCTTCCCTGATACTTTGTACGTATGATGTGTTAATCATGTGTTCGTTTCTTGCCTGCAGCCGCCCATCCGGGAGTGACTCCCGGCTGTATTCTATTCTTCTTTTTCTTCTTTTTATCCCATTTCCTTGGTGTTATGTGAGTCGGCCCCTTACTTCCTCCATTCTCGGGGTACACTGTTGTCCGCTTTCCCCTGTTATATTTTCTCTTCTGTTCGTTTTATGTTTTTTGTGGTGCAGCTGTATGTGGTCCCCCTGGAATATGTCATCTCCCTTATGAAACATCCTGTATTTTATACTATTCTTACTTCTATTTGGTGTCCGGCGTATGTTGTATATTTATTCACATTTCCCTCTATACCTATTTCTTTCCTTATATATCATACTCCATTACCTCGCTGCTTCTCATTATGATATATTATTATCTTATTATATTAACATATTTTGGGATTATAGTTCCTATTTTCCTCTTTTTATTTTTAGATGTGGGCGCCTTCGGACTGATTTAATTCCTCTCATAATTTTCCTGTGTATATACACTCTTAGGGAAACTTTTTATGCCCATCCTTTGCAATAACTGGTGTTTAATATTATGAAACCCCCGATCTCTTCATTCCTTCCCCTTCTCCTGTTTACTCCCGTACCACCCCTCTTCTAACCTTTATCTTGTTCTGGGTCAATAGCTATAGGTGCTGTGTTCCTTACCTCTATTCCTTCTCTGCCTTCTCCCGTTCATTCTACCCTCTTTGCTTTAAACCCGTATGTTCCATTATAATCTTTCTTCCTTTGTTTGCTTCTCCCATCCTATATTATCATGACATTAATTTATTATTATTCCATTCCCATTAAATGTATCATCTATAAGATTGTATCCTTATTTGTAATATGTTCTCCCTTCTTCCAGTAAGATAGATGGCGGTGTCCCTGTCGTTTCATCTGCCACTCAGAGTAGAGGCCTAGTTCAACGTGGCTTGATGCTTCCTGTTTTATTGTACTAGCATATATCGCACATATATTATATATATTCAGCATCAGTAACTTGTTATATTTGCGTTATTCTTCTTTGTTCTTCTGTGTATATTTCTGTTGGTGTTATAGGTAAGTGTCACTCAAGTCTATAGATGTTGTTTTCGTGTATTATAGGGGAGCCCATTCAAATATATTATGGAATCCATCACTTATGGGTTTTATTATTAACCCATAAATGGTGTATCCCGATTTATGTATACTTCGGTATACTTCTCTCTGCCTTTAGCAGTATGATGCTTCTCATAAGGTATAGCGTAATATCCTAAAATTCTCTCAGGATTAATTTATTCCTATCCATCTTGCTGTCCTTAATAAATTCCATAAATGACTTGCTCATTCCGCCTCTCCTGTTTTTACTTCCTCCTATCAGGCCCGTTCATATTTTTCTTTGTTTTCATTATGCTCCCAACTCCCTTTTCGTACTGTCCCATTCCTCTCACAATGATATACTTATCCTATTCTATTCACTCTTTCACATTATTTATATACACCCCAGGGTCTATTGTGGGCTTCATGAAAATAATACTCGCCTTCCAAATGGATTTAATGTGCTGCATAGAAGCATTCGTATGTCGCCTCTTTGGTCATATAATACTCTTCATGTTTTATTTTCATATTCCATTTATTTCTCTTATTATTACGTTCATATCATTAAAGACATCTTGTTATATTGTTACTATCATCTTTTAATGATGCTTAGGTGCTGAATTTAAATTTCTGACCTGTGTACTGGGTGCTCTGTCTCCACAGGAATCAAAAGAGATTTCACATTATCATTCCCCTTATTTTAAAGTGTCTAATATATGATACGTACTCATCATACCTTTTATCATGTGTATAGAATCCTCTTTTATGCCGTTATTATAGGTGGTATTCTCATATATCCTCCCCTCATAGAAATGAATACCTATATTTTCCATATATCTTCTCCTCTGGAAGCCTATTGTTTTGGACTATCTTATATTTATACATAGACTATTCCAATCAGACTTGCGATTTGTTCTAGTGAATAATGCTCTCCGTTTGGATACTTTTACCATTCTCTGAGTTATATCTACTGTTTAAAACGATTTGTGCACTCATTCTTATCATTCTTATTTTCAAACTTTAAAGGATCTCTGCATGAGTTTTATCATTTAAAAAATATGGAAAAAATATATCCCTCGGAACCCTGATCCTTATGGAATGATCACATACTGCATAATAGTGCATCGCCTCCCTCTATATATTCTTTCCTTTTACGAAGGTATAGACACTTTATGAACCTATGTGCCTGTTTTAATACAATAACCAGCTACCATATCTGTCCTCATATTTCAGATTTCCTACCTTATTCTTCGTTCCATGCTTTTTTGTCATGATTTCCACTGCCTCCCTTATCAATGCATTATATAACGTGTTCTGTGTTAGCTATCAATCTTAGTCATCTATCTATCCTTTTCTATATATTATCATAATGGCATATTCCTGATTCCGGCTTCCTAATGATATGTATAAATATTACTACAATAGTCTCTTACAGACTTCGGCCCATGATTTATGCAACGCTTATAATCCCCCGTGTTTGCGTAGTTCATCATAGTACATATCTTAATAGGGGCCTATGAATTTCGTTATATTATTCCTTATCTCGATACTATGGTCTACGCATGCATATGCGAAATTTCCCTCTATTCAGT